TGCAGAAGGGTCTAGGCCCGAAACGTCAGCTTTCCTGCTCCTCTGATGCTGCTTGGCCTGCTGTGTTCATCCAGCTCTACACCTTGTTATCTCGAACAATATCATGTGATCATTTAGAAAATCTAATTGATGAGTATGGGCTCCATTGTTGTTTGCATCCTGTGAACATTTTGGTATGATTTTGTGTGGGCATAGTGGTAGTGGCAATCATGCCAAAAAATTGATATCACTTCTGTTTAGTGCTTTGGGATGTTTTGCTAGAATGATACTTGTTATTTCACTAACTTAATCTTCTCTCCTCCTATGCTGATCTGTTTCAGTCTATTCCATCCTATGAAGAAATTCAAAAGAAGATGCATGAACTTGCTGTATTTCTGGATATGCCTCGATTTCCTGAAATAACAGAGAAGTGTTTTCTCCATCCAGATATACTTTGTATCAAGTACTTGATAGAAGCTAACTTACCAGGTAGACATCTCCAAAACAGTACAGTTCAGAACAAATGTGGGACAGGAGAAGGATTATCAAAGCAAAGTACTTCTCTTTCCTACCTTGCCCCCACTCTGACACCAGTCTGTCATCAGTTTTATGTTTTTTCAAAAATATTGAATCCCTCGCAAAGGAAGAGTTTTGCCAAAGAGTTTTGCGAATTTTCTTTGTTTTTCCCATGAAGACTCCTAGTTGGGAAGTAATGCTTCAAATAACAGATTCAAGACCTGCCAATTCATATCTCTGTAGCAAACATAGAAGTAAGATACTGTCGATACTGGAAATCTCAAATCAAAATAAAACCAAAAGGTACTTGAAATACCCAGAACAGGCTGTATCTGCAGAGTGAGAAACGATGTTAAGCCTTTAGATTGATAACTTTGCATCAGAATTGGAAAACGCAACACAATGATGGGCCTTAACCATGGAGAGTAGGAAAGAACATCAGGGAAGATCTCCAATAGAGTGGAAGGCAGAATAGAGGAAAAAGAAGATGCTAATGAATAGTGCTCAAACAATGGGTCTAGTGGGAGAATAAATGGCAACAAGGGAATCCTTACCAAAATTGGTAGTAGTTATGACCTGAAATTGTTGAATCCACTGTTCAGTCGGATGTTAAATCAAAAGTTGAGGTTTTGTTATTCAAACTTATATTTAGTTTCACTGAAACATTTCAGGAGGGGAGGACAGTTGAGAGTAAGAGGGGCGGAGAGCTAAAATTATGGGCACCTGCAAACTTGAAATGTTCCATGAATTGGTCACCCAGTGAGCATTTGGTCTCTTCAATGTAGAGAAGAGGCTGTTGTGAGCAGAGAGCACAGTAAACTGAATTGAAAGAAGCACATGTAATTTCTATTTCACCTGGAAACTGTGTTTGCTGTCCTGGACGGGATGAGAAGGGAGGAGGTAAAATGGGAAGTGCTGAATGTCTTGCCCTTGTGTTATAAGCTGTCCTTGGGATATGAACCAGTGAATCTGAATTCTTTTCGAATACTGACGGTGAAGGAGAGGGTAAAGACATTTATAAAGTAGTGAATATTGTCATTTTGTCTGGCTGGGGTAACACAGCTGATACTCAAATTTAGCCCCATATCTCTCTGCAGAATATAGTTTTTTTTTAAAGTTGCAGGTGTTTTATTTAACATGATAAAGGTTGGAGGAATTACTTGTGTAAAATATTTAATGTACTGTACAGTGTGAAATCTATTATTTTATATAAAGTTGTACTGTTTAGGCTAGAAAGCTATCAGAATTGTAACATTCAGAAAACTTGGTGTTTCAATACTAGTTACTTAAGATTTTGCCAAGTAACAAGGGAGGGACTTGTTGCAAGGTTTTAATAGATCACTCAAAATGGTTCAAGTGTCACTAAAGAACAGTTCAAGTGCTTGCATCAGTTGAAGTTAGTAAGATATTTAGACAGGGTGATGAGCAAAGGAAAGAGCTCCATGCATAAAGAATGCTGCTCTTATCTGTGCTGGGATAAGTCCTGGGAGCTGTGGGAGTCTGGGAAGAAGTCTGTGAGCCACTAACGGTTCAGTACAACAGAGATTGGGGTTAAAGAATCCTACCACAGCCAGCATTTGCTTGTTGCAGCTGAGCATGATTAGATCTCCAGAGAAATCCAGGAGTGTTACTAGCTTGATGAAACTAGCAATGTATGACAAAGCTGAAGTTTGTGCCTGCAAATAGGCGTTGAAGTGAAGTTTTTGGGTTCCAGGCGAGTTTAGTCCCACGAAAGGAGATTGAACTACCAGATGTGAGCAGTTGTTGAGAAAGTCCAGGACAGAACTGCCATCAAAGGAGTTTCAGGGCCAGATATTCAAAAGTGACGACTTGGAATCCATTGTGAAGTTTTAATGAGATTTAATGTCCCATAGTGTCATTAACATTGTATAGTTTTTTTTATAATGGTACTAGTCCGTAGCCAAATTTTAATATAAATTTGATGGCCTGGTCTGGGATTGTAACAAGAATGAGGGTGAGTTAAGTGAGTGAAGAAAAGTTTTTTTTGAAGTATTTTCAAATGTAGTACTAAGCATTAAATTATCATCTCTTTATCTACGTCATAACTTTGCAAATGAGATGAAATCTACCTTAAGCAAAGCTGTTGTTAATACTGTTAATACCGTGGGAATATTTTTATATTCTTTCGTAGGATGGGAGTGTCATTGCCAGAACCATTATGAGTTGCCCATCCCTAATGGTCCTTGAATTGAGTGACTTGCTAGATCATTTCAGAGGGTAGTTAAGAGTTAACCGCATTGCTGTGGGCCTATCCTATGTAAAATACAGGTAAATGTAATTTCAGCCAAGCAGATAGGTTAATCATTATGCCAACCTTCCCAAATGTTGTTCTTTCCATTAGGATTTATATGACGTGGATAAAACATTAGCTCAGAGTTTACTGTCAGCAACTGCTTACCTCAAGGAAAGCCTCACTGAGAAATCCACTGATCTTTGGGGCAACAACTTTAGCTATCCGTCTTGCCATGCAGCATAGTCAAATGGGGATTAGTACTATATATGTCACTGGGCTACTAATTCAGAGGCCCAGCTTTATGTTTACTGGCATACTGGATGTCACCATTGAATAGAAACTGAACTGGCCAAGCCATATAACTACCATGGTTACAAGAACAAGTCAGAGTCTAGGAATTCTGTTGTAACAACTTGCCTATGCTGTCGCCAATGCCTGTCCATTTGCTTGAATGAGTGCAACTCCAACAGCACTCAGGAAACCCAACATCATCCAAGAAAAAACAGCCTGCATCCACCACCTTCAACATTTACTCCCTTTTTACCACTGATGCACAGTGGCAGCACTCTATACTATCTGCAAGGTGCACTGCAGTAATTCACCAAGACTCTCCTGATTGCATTTTCCAAACTGGTGACTTCTCAAAAGGACGAGGGGAGCAGTTGCATGGGAACACCACCATGTACAAGTTCGCCTTCAAGTATGCACCATCCTGACTTGGAACTATATCTCTGTTCCTTCACTGCCACTGGCTGAAAATCCTGGAATTCCCTTCCTTCTGCACAGTGAATATACCAACAACCCATGGACTGCAGTGGTTCAAGACCACTACATTTTCCAGGTAAATTGGGGATGGGCTAAAAATGCTGGCCAAGCCATCAATGCCCACATCCTATGAACAAATAAAGAAAATGCTTAATGCTGTGGTGACATCGGTCTAGATCACGCCATAGTAGCTAATGGAATTTGAATGCAACCTGGAATATAAAACTTCTCTGCAATGGTGACCATAACAACTATTATTGATGGTTATGAGATCTATCTAATTCACTTAATTTCTTTGAGGGAAGAAAATCTGTCATCCTTATCTGGTCTGGCCCACATGTCACTGTAGACCCACAGCAATGTGGTTAACTTTTAACTGCCCTCTGAAATGACCTAGCAGGTCACTCTGTTCAAGGACTGTTAGGGATGGGCAACAAATAATGGTCCTGGCAGTGACACTCACATCCTACTAAAGAGTATGAAAAATATTCCTACCGTAGATTTAAAAGAGACCTAAGAGACAACTTTTTCACACATAGGGTGGTGCGTGTATGGAATGAACTGCCAGAGGAAGTGGTGGAGGCTGCTGCAATTAGAACATTTAAAAGACATCTGGATGGATATATGAATAGGACGGGTTTAGAGAGATATGGGGCAAATGCTGGCAAATGGAACTAGATTTATTTAGGATATCTGGTAGTCATGGATGGGTTGGACCAAAGGGTCTGTTTCCATGCTGTGTACATCTCTGTGACTCTGACTCTACATAGAACTGCAGTGATGGTCATTAGCCAATCACATTAACGAATTCTCAAAAATGTAAAGCACTAAAATGTGTAATCACTTTTTAAAAATTTACGTAGGTCAAAGATGCGGATGTAGATGTGGGGTGAAGGTAGAAAGCTTCTACAACAGTATTTAAAAATTGAATTAAACCTAATGATTAATCTTAATGACAACACTTAATGCTTCACAAATATAAAATTATGTTTTCAGGTGCCAGATCTGTTTCTCATAAATAGCTATTGCTCAGATTAGGTCACCTTTTCTAAAAAAAAAAAAAAAATTCCACCTGATTGAACAAGAATCTTTTTGAATGTGGTTTTTTTATTGCTAGAGGAAAGGGAAAATTCTCACCAATAATCAGTTTCACTGGTTGCTGGCTTGGCAAGAGTGGCCACAGTATAACTATTGACGGAATAGATCGCAAAGTTAGGACTAATGCATTAATCAGACACTTTGCTAAATCCTGAAGTTGTATACAGTTTCAGAGAACTAATAACAGCTAATTGCTGTCAAAAACCACTTTTAAATCTAGACCAATACTTCTCTACCCTTGTAGTCTGTACAAAAGTATATATTTGTGCATTGAAGTCACGTGATAAGATGCACACCAAGAATTTATTATGTAGGAGGATGAGCTTGTTAAATCTTTTATGGTTTTGGATGAGTGAAGATGTTAGCTCCATAATAGTAAGCAATCCAATTTTGCTGTGACTGTCACATACTCTAGCAGATTCTTTGTTATGCCTTCCATTACAGTTGTTAAGGCTAGTTGGCACCAGTCAATCTTGTTTACGTTTATTACTGTTTACAGTCATTAATACTGAAAGGCTGGCTCTCATAAGACCAGTGCAAACTAATCTAACTGATCTGTGCCTGTTTAGCCTAAAGCTGGAAACAAATCTTGCCATCTTTTTCGTGTTTATTCTTAAACTGTTCAGTTAAACATGAATTGCTGATACAGGTGAAACATGTAATTACATTGATACTCAAACCAGTTTAACTGGTTAAAAAAACATAAGGGAGGATAGGTAATCTCTCTTTCCCAACCCCCCAATCCTCTTCCAAAGAAGGATCACAAACATATCTCATTTTAAGACTTTTATTGTAACTTTAAGGATTATCAGAGTTGAAACAGTATTTGAGATGACAGCTCCCACTAAGTAAGTAGTGTTTCTTTTCCTATCTTGATTTATTTTTGGTGATCCCAAATCAGAGAACATGCATATCTGGATAAGAAGATTGGTGAAGAAAATGGGTATTGGAGAAGTGGACTTTCTGACCTATCACCCATTGTCTAGAAGAGCAAAGATGGTCAAGTATGAAGTTCAGGCTGCAGCAGTAATTGTGATTGCCTTGAAACTGCTGTTTGTTCTTAATGATAAACATGAGTGGTAAGTCACTTGATGTATCTAATTAAATATTGAAGATGGTACAGACCACTGATTGCTTTTTAAATATTTTGTAATTTTTTTTATTATTTAACAGGTTGCTATCTAACAGAGCGAAAGAGATAAACAAACAAAACAGTGAAGGTATTTAATTATGATTGTTGTAAAATATGTGAATCTATCTAGTTTTATGGGTAATCATGGAAAAAGGGATTTTATCATTCATTTGAAAACTATTTTAAAAATAGAGCAGCTTGACAGTACAGTTTCTGCATTTTATTATTTAACATTTAGTTATAGGTTCATAGAATAGTATAGCACGGAAAAGGTTATTGGGTTCCATCTACTAACGAGCAAGCCAGTTAGTCCCAAGGCTTCATTCTTCTCGTTTATCCCACATATTTCTTCTCTAAGTATTTATGCAGTTCTCCTTTGCTAAAGGCAACTGTTGAATCTGTATTGAACACCCTATGAGACGGCACATTACAAATCCACCCACTTCTTGCGATAAAAACTTTTCCTTATGAAACCACTGCCATGCATTAAATCTTTGCATTCTGTTTACTGATTCTTCAGCCCTTGGAAAATATGCCTCTATATTTATATGTTTATGACTTTAAACACTGCTAGTAAGAGGCCTTTTTGGCTCCACAGGAAGTGATCCCAGCTTCACCAATGTTTTAATGTAACTGTAGTCCCTCATCTTTGGAACTATCAGTAAGTATCTTTGATGTTTTATTCAAAGTTTTCACATCCTTCTGAAGTGTGGTGCCTAGAATTGCACATTAGCTCAGCCCCAGCCGGAGTATTGTGTTTTATATGAATTTAATGTAACTTCTTGGCTTTTGTAATCTGTGCCTCTAGTTATTAGCGAAGGATTTTAGTTAGTTTGTTAATCTGCCCTGCCACTTTGAATTATTTGTGCACAGGCATTCCCAGATGTCTCTGTTCTTGTATTTGCTTTAAAACGGTACCGTTTAGAATGTAAAAACCGAAAGAACTGCAGATGCTATAAGTCAGGAACAAAAACAGAAGTCGCTAAGAAAGCTCAGCAGGTCTGAGGAAGGGTCACCAGACTCGAAATGTTAACACACTATTTTTTCTTCACAGATGCTGCCAGACTTGCTGAGCTTTTCCAGCAACTTCTGTTTTGTTCCATTTAGAATGTATCATCTTTCCTCATTCTTCCTGCCAAAATGTATCACCTCCCACTTTTCTGTTCAGTTTAATGTATCATGTGCCCACCCAATCTGTCAAACCTGTTTGTTCTTTTAAAGTCTAGTGTTATTTTTCTCCGCTAATCTCCCCATTCAGTCATTAATTTGGATCAAAAACAGCAGTGGTCCTAAGTACTGAACCTTGAGGAAAACTGCTGAATAACTTCCAGTTTAATAAAGAGGAGTTGCCACTTCTCTCTCCTCGTCCAGCCTCTTCCATAAGCCAAATTTATTATAATGTTGCTATTGACCCTTTTACTCATCTCCAACAAAAGAAAATATAACCATCGCTTCTTATCTCCTGCTGTCCAGGAGATAATTGCAAGGGCATAATCATATCTTGTGCAGGAGGGTCCCTTTTTAGCTTCAGTTCATTCAGTAGTCATCTAGTCTAGAGAATGTCATCTGGTAATTGTGATTCGCTCTTGAATTATCTTTGTGCATTAGTCTTTTATGCAATGGTAAACAACACATTCTTATGGTGATTTGTCCTTTAGTTATTTCTCCGTGGGAAGTAAATATTGGCTATATTTGTTTACAAATACAATGAGAAAGGAACACATGGAGTCACTTAATTGTAAACTAACTACTTAAAGGCACCAAAAATCAGAGGAATAGCAGAACCTATAACCGTCACTGGAGGAAAGAGTAATAGGAATACCAATAGAACTCAAAACTGACAAGGCCATTTGGAATGATGTCTTGCACCCCAAGGTCATAAAAAGTGGCTGCAGAGATAATGGGAGACAACAAGGTGCAGAGCTGGATGAACACAGCAGGCCAAGCAGCAGCATAGGAGCAGAAAGGCTGACGTTTCGGGCCTAGACCCTTTTTGGCCTGCTGTGTTCATCCAGCTCTGCACCTTGTTGTCTCGGATTCTCCAGCATCTGCAGTTCCTACTATCTCTGCAGAGATAATTGATTGGTTGTAATCTTCTAAATTCATTAGAATATGGAAATGAGGTAGCAGATTTGAAAACTACTAATGTAGAAACTCTTCTCAAGAAAGCAGCAGGAAATTAGTGGTCAGTCGTCCAATGTCTGTCATAAGAAAAGTGCTAATATTGGTTATTAAAGAGGTAGTAGTAGAACAACTAGAAAATCATGAATCGATCAGGTAAAATCAATGTGGTTTTATGAAAGGAAGATTGTGTTTGACAAATTTATTAGAGTTCTTTGAGAATATAACAACTGGAGTGGATGAAAGGGAACAAGTTGATACAGTGCACTTGGATTTCCAAAAGGATTTCACTAAAGTGCCACAAGAAGTTAGCTACATGAAATAAGAACTTGTGGTATAGAACATCGAACATAGACCAGTACAGTACGGTACAGGCCCTTTTGCCCACGATGTTGTGCCGAACTTTTACCCTAAACCTAGGGTAAAAGGTTTAAGGTCTATCTAACCTCCACTCCTACCTTATACTATCATCCATATGCCTATCTAATAGCCGCTTAAATGCCCCTAATGAGGCCGACTCCACTACCTTCTCCAGCAATGCATTCCACGCCCTTGCCACTATCTGAGTAAAGAACCTACCTCTGATGTCTCCCTATATCTACCTCCACTCACTTTAAAACTATGCCCCCTCATAATAGCTACCTGCACTCTGGGAAAAAGTCTCTGGCTGTCCACTCTATCTATACCTCTGATCATTTTGTACACCTCTATCAAGTCACTTCTCATCCTTCGTCGTTCTAAAGAGAAAAACCCTAGCTCTCTCAACCTTTCCTCGTAAGAACTTGTATCGATTTGAGGCAACAACGTGGTAAATGTCGTCTGGACATTTTCCAACGCTTGACATCTTTGTTGTAATGAGGGGAGCAGAACTGAATACAATACTGCAGATGTGGCTAAACTAACAGTTAGTTAGCGTGGCTAACTAACAGTAAACAGAGGGTCAGGCTGAATGCGACATTTTCGATTTGACAAATTGAAGGAGGTGGTGATAATAACATTTAACCCAGAGACCCAGGTTAATATTCTAGGGACAGGGTCTCAAATCCTGTAATGGTGGACAGTGCAATTTGAATACAATAAAAATCTAGAATTAAAAACTAATCTAATAATAACCATGTAACCACTGTCAATTATTTTAGAAACCCATCTGGTTCACTGATGTCCTTTAGGGAAGGGAATTTGCCATCCTGACCTGGTCTGGCCTGCATTAGTGTGGCCTACATGTAACTCCAGACCCATAGCAATATGGTTGACTCTTAATTGCCCTCAGAAATTACCTGATTAATCAATCAGTTGAAGGGCAACTAGAGATAGGCAACAAATGCTGTAATCTGTAGTGAGTGGAACTAGGTCAGCCAGTTGGATCTCATAGAATATGAGTTCCTTGATTGAGGCTGTTAACCTGGTCCAATCAGGGAGCCCTGGCTAACATATAAACAGGAGTGTCAGGGGTTCTGTTTGCTCTAGGTGCTGGCTCTGAGCTAGCTGGGTCAGTGTCGTGTACTATGCACGTGTAAATAAAGGATGACTTTGTGGAGTTATTTCACAGTGATGCCCATATTCCATACAAGAACAAAAGAAAACTAGTGGAGTTCCACAGGGGTCAGTGCAGGGGCCTCGACAATCACTATATTAACGACTTGGATGATATTAAAACAGCTTGGACAAATGTGAAAAGGATGAACTGTACTGTAGCCAAATGTGCTGACCATATAAAGTTGGGTGTGAAAGCAAATTGTTTGGAGGTCTCAGTCTGCAAAGGCATACGGGTAGGTTAAGGAAGTGAGCAAGAATTTGTCAGATGGAGTATAATGTGAGAAAATATGAGGTTCTCAATTTAGGTTGCGAAAATGGAAAAGCAGAATATTATCTACATGGCTGCAGAGTGTAGAAGGATCTGGGTGCCCTTGTGCCTGAATTGCAAAACATCATCAGAGAGGTAAAACAAGTGATTAGTAGGGCAAACAGAATATTTGTCTCTGCATGGGGAATGGAGTATAAAATTACGAATGTCTTGCTAGCACTGTACAAGGAATTGGTGATACGACGTCTGAAGTACTATGTGCAACTTTCCTCCCCTAACTGAAGAAAGGACATACTTGCATTAGTGGAAGTTCAAAGAAAGTTTACTAGGCTGTTTTGTGGGATGAGGGATTTGAGAAAAGGTTGAGGATGTTGGCCCTACATGCACTAGACTTCAGAAAAATGAGAGGTGATTTTAATGAAACATAAAATTGTGAGGGGACCTGACAGGCTAGATGCTGCAAGGGTATTCCCTCAGCGAAGTCTAAGTCTAGCAACAACTGTTTCAAAGTTGCAGGTCTCCTTTTTAAGATTAGGATGAAGAACTTCTTTTCTGTCTGAAGGTTGTTAGAGTTTGACATTTTTACCTAATAAGCAGTGAGGGCTCAGTCATTTTATATATTCAGGGCTGAGTTAGACAGATTTTTAACAGTTGTGGGGTAGATGGGAAAATGGAATTAAGGCCACAATTGGATCAGGTATGGTCTCACTGAATGGTACAGCAAGTAGCCAAATAGTGTACTCCTCATACTTTTACGTTCTTGCAAACTTTAAGGTTAACTTTATTAACACATGATCAGCTGGTATGGACTGAAGCCCAGGGGATCAATATTGATTAGCATGCATCTGCGAGTGAACTAACAATCCTGGTTCATCTGTTGTAAAATAATTCATTGGTAATTCAGCCAAAATGGCAAATCTTAAAATTGTTTGTACATATTATTGGTATGGGAAATAAATGTTTTATATTGATTTTACCAACTTGTATCTAGTGCTTTGCCCTTGAAGAGTGTAAATTACTTAATTTCTAAAATTAAAAGAATCATGATAATTTAAAATAAAATCAGGAGAAATTCAGAGCCAATCCTAGTAAGTCAGAAAAAGGATAGGGTACTATTTCAGGTGTCCACCTACATTAAACTTTTTCTCTGGTTTGTATTATTGTTAGGTGTTAAGGTCTTTCAATTCAAAAAATGGTACATGGTAATGAGAAACAGCTTGGACGAACGTGAAAAGGAAGCGGAAGACCAGGCAGCCAGGTATAATTATGATTACTTTTATATAAGGTTTACAGTGTATTTTTTATTTGCCAGTTACAGAATATTTATAAAATGCAGTAATACCACTCTGATTGTAAATATCATACAGCTCGGTTAAATCTGGGATCCCTATCAAAGGTCTGCTCAAAAGATTGACCAGAAAAGTAAGCTTTCAGCGTAAAATTGAAAGTATCTCAATCTAGCTGCTGTAGGAAGAATGAGAGTGAGGTCACCCAAAACCTGACGGACAACATGAGTTTACAACTTATTTGAACAGCTAGGAGGAAAATAGTGAAGCAAGAAATGGGTAGTGAGAGAGTTCCAGAGGGAATCTCAAGATGACTGAATCATCTATCATCATAAGATAAGACAAGAGATTTAAATGTCAATAGCATGACCAATATGAAAGCTGCTGGTTGAAAGAAATGGGAGCAGTGATTATGATCTGAAATTACTCAACTTAATGGTGACGTAGTAAATAAAAACTGAAAGAACTGTGGATGCTGTAAATCAGGAACAAAAACAAAGTTGCTGGAAAAGCTCAGCAGGTCTGACAGCATTTGTGAAGGAAAAAAACATAGTTAACGTTTCAGGTCCGGTGACCCTTCTTCAGAGGAAGTTCTGAGGAAGGGTCACTGGACCCGAAACGTTAACTCCGTTTTATCCTTCACAGATGCTGTCAGACCTGCTGAACTTTTCCAGCAACTTTGTTTTTGTTCAATGTTGAGGTCATTGATTCAACAAAGTCCTGTTTTGGCTTTGAGTTATATTGATCCATGATCCTATTAGATGATTTTGAGTTGCAACTCAAGTTGTTGAGATTTTTTTAAATAAGGTATTGCCTCAGGAAAAGATTGGCTTTATAAAATTCCACTGAAGTGATGATGAACCATATCTGTCAGTTTTGGTAGTGGCAGTCGTTGATTTCAAACTATCTCATCAAAGAATGTGGAGTGTCAATTGGTTTTTACTGACTATTGAATTGCCAAGTAACTCTTCCACAAAGAAGGAGCTTTAAAAACATAGCCTTCATGTCTTGTTAAATTATTTGTTGTTAGATTATATATTTACATGTAAATAGAAGACATCTGACTGTAAGAATGATTCATGTCCCAATGGGAAATAAGTGAGTAGTATTAACATTGTCCAGCAGAAATGCATTTATTGTTGGTTACTTATAAATTAAAGAGGAAGAATGGTGATAGATGACAATGATGGATTTTCTAATGGGGTAAATTTTGTTATGAAATAAATTTATAGTGTGTGTCGGAAAAACTACTGCTAAATTATAGATTGGGTTTCACAGGCACTTGTGGAAATGTGAAAAGCCACTATTCTTTTCTTTAAAAGACAAGTCGGTGATCTACAAAAAGAAACGTAAGTAGATTTTTTTTTAGGTTTTGTACTTGTTATAAAGTTTTTTTTTGAAAGGTAGAAGCTTTTTCTGTAACTTTAAATGCATGAGATGAATGTAGGATCTTGGGGTGTTTTGGGACTATAGAGTTAGAGAGTTTATACACTAGACTATAGAGATTAGAGTTAGGGTTGTAATGGCTTCTAAAGATAAGGGAAAGACCCAGAATATAAAACTAACTATCTACCACAATGAACACTTCTATTCAGCCCTCAATTGTGGCTACTTGGGGAAGTGGTGAAGCATATTAGTTCTGGAGCGGCATGGTGACTCAGTGGTTAGCATTGCTGCCTCACACAGCGCCAGGGACCCAGGTTCAATTCCACCCTCGGGTGACTGTTTGCACATTCTGCCCGTATCTCCATGGGCTTCCTCCGGGTGCTCCGGTTTCCTCCCACAGTCTAAAGATGTGCAGGCTAGGTGGATTGGCCAAGCTAAATTGCCCGTAGTGTTCAGGGTTGTGTAGCTTTGGTGAGTTATAGGGGGAATAGGTCTAGTTGGGATGCTCTAAGGGTTGGTGTGGACTTGTTGGGCTGAAGGGCCTGTTTCCACACTGTAATCTATCACTATGATCTATAATATATTATTCTAGTAAGACATGTCTTACTGAGTCTGGGGCTAATTAAGTGTTGTTCCGTCAAAATGGACTTGAAGCTTGATATTGCTCCAAGTTTACTCCTCTTGTGAAGATGCTAACTCTTACATACAAAAAAAAATAGGTACCGAAGAGAAAATCATATGACCTCTCAAACCTGATCTGCTATTCAATTAGATCATGGCCAATGTATTAGGGTTTCGAATTCCATATTCCCACCTTCTCTCAGTAATCCTTGATTCCCCTGCTTCCCAAGAATCTGTCCAGCTCTGTCTTTAAAATATTCATGACCTCGCCTTCACTGCCTCCTGATGCAGAGTTCCAAAGTCTCTCAACTCGGAGAATAAAATTCTCCTCATCTCTGTCTTGAAAGTGCCCCCTTGTTCTGGACTGACCCACAAGAGGACATCTCCTTTCCATGTCCAGCCTGTCAGATCATTCAGGATCTTATACACATCAGTCAATTCACCCTTCACTTTTCTAGACTTCAGTGGAAATAAGCTCAGCCTGACCAACCTTTCCTCATAAGACAACTTGCTCATTCCAGGCATTGATCTATTAAATATTGTCTGAAATGCCTCCAGTGCATTTTCATTCTTCCTTTAAATAAGGGAGACCAAAACTGCACAAAGTATTTAAGGTTTGGGTCATCAAGCCCTGTATAACTGAAGAATATAATACTTATCTTTATGCTCAATTCCTCTCATAATAAAGGATAGCATTCCATTAATCGCCTTGATTGCATACTGTACCTACATACTGATGTTTTGAGTTGTTTGCCAGAAAAATTTAAATCCCACTGCACTTCAGAATTCTATAATTGTTCTTCATTTAAGCAATAATCTGACTATTTATTCTTCCTGCTGAACTAAACAACTTTACATTTGCCCACATTGGCCAAATCTTTGCCCAATCCTTGTCATTATGGAGACAGGATGTCAGGTGCTATTTATTTATTTCAATGTGAGTTATCAATTTGTTTACTTTATGAATGCTACAAGCATTCAGATGTGGGGCATTTAGTTTGTCCTTTTGTTATCTTTTTAGCATCTTGATTATCAGTGTATTCCTAGGTTTCTTTCTATCTGTCCCTTCCTGCCTTTCTCTAATCCTCATTTTCTGTGTTACTATTTTCCTTCCTTATCTCATCTGTACTCTTTAATATACCACAGTGTTCCACATTGATCCCTTGCCCCTGCAATCTATTTTGTATTGATTTGCAAGATAGAACTTCTAAATGATATCTTGCTTGCTGATGACAACTTGTGAGAACCTGGAAAGAGTATTAGTGCAATTTTGGACTGTGGGGGGCTCTTGGGCGCTCTGGACTCGTGCTTCATGACTGATATCCATGTGCAAACTTTCTAGCAGGGTTCATTAGCCATTAGTAAAGAAGAAACATGCTAGTTGTTTATTTTCCTCACCCACCAGACTATCCCTCGCCCAGAAGATTTGAACTCACTGAAAGCGGTACTACTACTGCCCTGGCTGATCTCAACACAGACTGGAGAACAAGCCTTTTGCTGCCTTATGGCTTTGTGCTATGTCATGTGATCTACTTACTCACTGCCCACTGAGGGAAGTGTTGACTTGAATGTGTTTGAGACTGGAGCAAGGAATGAATGTCAAAGGTTAAAATGCAAAGAAAAAAAAAATTGAACACACCACAAACTTGACTATTTTTGGTTTTGACAGAAGTTGGACCATTATGCTTGTGGGAAGCAGGATGATCATATAAAAATCATGAGACAGTGTGCATTAATTTTGAGACACTATTTTTAAGCACAAGCAGGTGGACTTTGGGAAACTCAGCAGCTTAAACGGGTGAGTGAGCTGTATTCATAAGCAACATGGCTTGTGGGCCAACAGGAACAGGAATGTTGTTCCATTACAACAAACCACCCAGTATATCTCCTTACTCTCAATCACACAATCTTCCTGGTTCTCCTTCCTCCGAAATCAGGATTCCCTTTCTCTGGTCTGGACCAATCCCTACAATTTTTCAGCTGTCGTTACACCTATTTGTTCTCATGGACTTTAGCCATGTGAAGTAGGCCTCTGACTCAAAAGCCCATCAGCCTAACAACCAGACTTCCCAAGGGTGGGATCACCCTATAGAAAGGAAAAAAATAAAGGAGTTTTGCATTTGGTTTCTTGGGGCATTCGGGAAATATTTTTTCCAGGGTTTTCTGCCTCTCAGCAGCTACAACCTGACCAAAACTACCCACCATCCCCTACCAGCTACAGGCTAAAATCAGTACCAAGGCATCTGAAATCTGGATTTTATCCCATAACTTGTGAGAAAAAGAAATTACAAGATTTTGCAATGGTTCAGTAGCCAGGAATTATCACTTAAACTGGAAGATAAGACTCACGGTTTAAAAAATAAAATGTTTAATTTTTAAAATTTATTTTAGGTATGATCCACAGTCTTAAGAAGCAATTTATTAGACTCACTGGTTCCCATCAAACAGGGGAAAAGGAAAGACCTTCCAGTTTCAAATTCAATTGGAGTGAAGGCAACTTAGAGAGACCATGCTTTCGTGAAGACAGCCTAAAAGAATATGATTATGAAAAAAGTAAAAGGATCAGAACTGTCAATGATCGCTACTGGGTCAGTTGTCTAAAAATTTGCAGAGAGAAGTATGTATTTGTTTTTATTCCAAGAAAGCTTAACTTGTATTTGAGAACTCCTAGTCTCCTGAATTTCTAGTTTTAAGAAATTGCCATTAAATTTCTGATTTGCGAATTAATGAGCGATACCATATATAGTTTTTACCAGACCATATTATAGTTTTAATATAATTTGAAAGGTAAAAAGCTAGAACATATTTTTCTGTGTAGAAAAGGGCTTTAATATTCTATAAGTTCATAGTGAAAAAGTTCTCAAAATTCTTATTGTCTTTTCACAAAAGCAGAATAACCGGACAATTATTGTTTATGGGAGCCTACTGTGTTCAAATTGATTGCCATGTTTCCTACATTTTACTTGCATTACTGAGGTGACTGCATTCCGAGAGTACCTGTTTAGCTGGGAAGCATGTTGACATGGCTTGGATTCATGAAAGGCACTGTTAAAGCGAGTCCTTTTTTTAAACTTATACACTTGGCAAACATTCTGTAATGAATGTCAGTAGAAGTGATCTATATTTTTGTATTTTTCATAATATATCCCAATGATTGAATGTAATGTTAGTTACTAAATGTCTTGAACTGTGCCTTGGTTATATGGCAGATAAAAGGTAAACAGTGTTATATTACAAGGGTTTTGTTATGCAGGTACATTCTGAATGAGTTAGAATTTTCTAGCCAATTGTGCTAGGAATGCTAAAATTACACACATCTTAGAATATAGATACTTCCCAAGTACTGTTATGTTGTTTTGTACAAAAATTTTGCACCAAGACAAAATTGAGTAAATTTAGAAGTAGCTGTTTAGTACATTAAAGCTGTACCATATTAAGGAATAAAATGAATAGAGTTAAAATAAAACGTTTAATAAATACTACACAATATATCATGTAACATCTTTTATTGGAATATAATGAATGTAAAATGTAGGTTTTTATATTTATTTCTTCTGTTGAACCAGTGTTTTGTTTGCACTTGAGCTCTGGTCCTTATTATTTGCCTTTCCACTGCCCAGTTCAGTGCAGTTCCTCTATTTACATTATAAATTTCAGCTCATGCCTGTTCTGTTTTCACAGTTGAATTAGTTTTAGTGTCCTAATTCCTCCTTGTAAGGTTAACTAAAGGATTGTAAAAAAATGTTTATGTAACTCCTGAAATAAATTAATGGTTTGTTCTATATTCTTTCATACTATATGGGTATCATTGGCAAAGCTAGCATTTCTTGCCATCTCTGATTACCCTTGAGCTGAGACTATAGCAGAGGGCAATTCAGAGTTGACCACATTGTATCTCTGGAATAATGAATGTGACTTGGTAAGATTAGCAAATTGTCTTCCCTAAAGGCAATACAACAACTGATGATAGCTGTCATGATCTTGTCCTTGGAACTGGATGGGGGAGAAGGGACGGCCAGTTGAAACAAAGGTTTCCAAAGGATCAACAAGAATTTTAAGTAGCCTAAATGTAAACAGAACAAGGCAGGGAAGCACGGAATAGAATAAATTAACAGAGGACAAATTGGTGACAAAGGATTAAATAGAGTTACAGAGCAAGACTTTAAAAATTTCATAGACATAAACTGAGAAGAAATAAGCTAAAATAAGTTAAAATGTCTGCATAGCAATAACGAAATAAGAGAGCTGGAGAAATCACATGCTAGGAGTACTGTCGTAGGGATAGCTGACACATGGTTACAAAGAAATCAGGACTGGGATATTTTAAGTTATAACATATTTAGAAAGAATACAGAAGGAAAGTGAGTGGTGGAATATCTTTTTATATTAAGGATAACAACAGCAGAAAAAGAAAGGGACATAACTAGCTACAAGACAAATATAATCTGTATGGTCAAGAGACAAAAAAACAGGATTAATCACACTAATAGATGTAACCTTTAGATCACCTAATAATGGAAGGGAAGTGGTAGAAGCAGGATGCAGCAGACAAATTAGAGAACCAAGTAATAAAACATCAAATACTAACCATGGGGGATTTCAATAAACTTAATATTTATTGGACAAAAGAGGGAGTAAAGGGGAACAGGGAATGGAGTTTCTACAATGAGTATAAGATTCCTTTCTAACTGAGTATGAAAAGACTAACAAGAGAAGATTCACCATAACCAGATCTAATAGATCTGGGGAGACAATGGCCCAATGGTATTATTGTTAGACTACTGCTAACCTCAGCTAATGTTCTGGTGACCTGAGTTCAAATCCTGCCATGGCAGGTGGTGGAATTTGAATTCAATGAAAATAATCTGGAATTAAGGGTGTAATGAAGAGAATAAATGAAACTGCATGATCGTTGTCTTGGTTTTGCTCTTTGCAACTGGATTCTCAGCTTTCTGACCCTTAGGCCACAATCAGTGAGGATAGGTAACTGCACCTCCTTCACAATAATGCTCAACACTGGAGCCCCCCCAAGGATGCGTCCTCAGCCCTGTACTGTACTCCCTGTACACCCATGACTGTGTAGCCAAATTCCAAACGAACGCCATCTACAAGTTCGCTGATGACACCACTGAATCAAAATACAGATGGGAGATAGAGGGCTTGGTGACACGGTACAATGAAAACAATCTGTCTCTCAACATCGGCAAAACCAAAGAACTGATCATCGACTTCAGAAAGAAAGGAGGAGAACTGGCCCCATCTACATCAATGGAACTGAGGTTGAGAGAATGAAGAGCATCAAGTTTCTCGGAGTGAAAATAACTGATGACCTGTCCTGGGGATCCCATGTAAATGCGACAGTCAAGAAGGCACAACAATGCCTCTTCTTCCTCAGGCAGCTCAGGGAATTTGGCATGTCCATAAGGTCCCTCACCAACTACTACAGTTGCACCATTGAAAGCATACTGCCCGGGTGCATAGCGGCCTGGTACGGCAACTGCTCTGCCCAGGACTGTAAGAAACTACAGAAGGTGGTGTGCACTGCCCAGACCATCATGGAAGCCAACTTACCATCCATGGACTTCATTTACACGGCTCACTGCTGCTGAAAGGCGGCCAACATCATCAAAGACCCATCGCGGTCTGGTAATGATCTCCTACAACCTCTTCCGTCAGGCAGAAGATACAGAAGCCTGAACACACACACAAGCAGCGTTTTTTTCAGCCGTTATCAGACTGTTGAATGGACTCTAGCCTGCAATGTAACCTGTATGCCTCGACGTCTTTTTGATTTGTACATCCTTTGCTTGCTGTGATCTGCCTGTACCACTTGTAAACAAAGCTTTTCACTGTATTTCGATACACAAAATCAATCAACCATTGTCAAAAAACCCATCTGGGTCACCAATGCCCTTTAGGGAGGAAAATCTGTCATCCTTATCTGGTCTGGCCTACATATAACTCCAGACCACAGCAATTTGGTTGACTGCCTGGGCAATGGGGCTGGACAACAATATTGCCAAAAAGCAGCATAGAACACCAATGGGAAAATTTAAAACCTTGTTCTGCAGGCACAGAAAAATGGTCTTCTGCTAAAAGAAAGGAGAAAACTAAACACGCGTAAGACTCCATGAATCAATAAAGATTTGTGGGTTAGAAAAGAGGTATATATTAAGCACAGGGACAGCAGAAGAGTATGTGAAAAGAGGGAATTGAAAGTGAGTAGAAGAGAATTCACTTTGAAAAGCAAAGAGAAACTATGAAAATAAATTATCATGGAACATAAAACAAATAGTAACATTTTTTAATGCTTCAATTAAAAAAAGGCGGTTGTAGTGGAACAAACCTTTGAGAGAGATAGAACAATAACACAGGTATGTTAGAGAGATGGGAAAAATGTTCTGTTTTAGTCTTTATCAATAAAAGAGGACGGGTAGACGAGACAGTTGAATGATAAGTGCACATAAAGTTGAGAAATAAAAGATGCATGAATAAACTGAACAAGCATGAAGAAGATAAAAACCCTAGACTGGATGGATTGCATTCATATGCCTTAAAATAATCTCAGTGAAGGATACCAAAGTCATTCCTACGTATAGTTACAATTCATTGGGAAAAAGGATCTATTGCCAGATTACTGGCAGATAGCTAATGTAATTCATGTATTTGAGAAGAAGAACAAAAATGTTTCTGGGAAGTTATAAACCAATCAACTTGGCTGGTTGGAAAGATACTGAAATCCTGCCTAAAGGGCAGAACAGAAGACCATCTAGAAACAAGAAAAAATTACAATGAACAATTAACATTTATTTCAAAGAAGAAAATCTTGCTTGAACAATCTTAGAGATTTTTGAGGAGGTAACAGAATCTACAATGACCATGCAGTGGATATAGTTGATCCGAATTTTCAAATGCCCTTCAGTAAGGTGCCTATAATAGATATGTTCGTAAGATCAGAGAATGAAGAGACAGGGGATAGGTGGCAAAACGAGTTGCTAGCTAGTTTCAAGACAAGCAGAGAGACGTAGAGTACAGGGTAGTTATTATTGTTGTAATCCACAGGGATCAGTGGTCCTTTTATTTATTCACTGGATGAGGGCGTCGCTGGCTAGGGCAGCACTTATTGCTCATCCCTAATTGCCCAGAGGGCAGTTGAGAGTCAAAACACATTGCCATGGGTCTGGAGTCATGTGTAGGCCAGACCAGGTAAGGATGGCAGTTTCCTTCCCTAAAGGACATCTATGGGACCATAGGTATCACAAGTTACATTTGAACATGTGAGGGAGTTCCAGGATTTTGACCCGACACTGAAGGAGTGGTGAGTTGCTTGGTGAGTTGCTCGGTGACTTGGAAGAGAATTTTCAGGTGGTGGTGTTCCCATGTATCTGCAGCCCTTATCCTTCTAGATGGAAATTTTTTTGGTTTTAGAAGGTACTGTCTAAATAGATTTGGTGAATTTCTGCATCTGCTACATACTGCTGCTTTTGCTTCTTGGTGGTAGAAGAAAGAATGAATCTTTTTCGATGTGGTTCCAATAAAGTGGGTTGCTTTGTCCTGGATGGTGGCAGACTTCTTTATTATTGTCAGCACTGTTGTAAAACAACAAGACTGATAAACCTACAAGGAAAAGCTAGACAAGTGTATACAAGAGAAGCAAATAGAGAGGAGTTGTTGTAAACCTAGATCAGGAAAAATTGCTGTTAAAGGTACATCTTTGAAAAGTATTTCAGTATTTGCTGCTGATAGACCGTTATACTGCACGTTTCGGATGAGATCTTTAGATTTGCATTGATGCAAAACTTGTATTATGAAGCCACGTGAAATAAATTTAAGCAAATGATTTGAAATTATCTCATATTCATGTGATCCTGCAGAACTGCAAAAGCTTTTTAAGAGATAGACACAATGTCAGCCTATTTTCCTCAAATTTTAAAAAAACTCTTTGCAGGAAACTTAATAAAGTGCCAAACTATCAAAGTGGCCAATCATTTTACTTTTCTCATTGCTGTTGGGGTGCATATCAGCTTTCTATTAATGGTCAGCAATGTGGCTTATCATTTGCTTAGTTGAGTCAGTCTCATCTGGTAATTGCAGTACAGCAAAAATAGTTAGAAATAGATATCATAAATTTTACCTCTGCTTGTATTGCTGCTACACTCTGAAGTCTGCCCTACAATATTAATAAGAAAGTTCCAAGTCATAGAGATGTACAGCACGGAAACAGACCCTTCAGTCCAACTTGTCCATGCTGCCCAGACATCTTAAATTAATCTAGTCCCATTTGGCTCATATCCCTCTCAACCCTTCCTATTCATGTATCCATCCAGATGCCTTTTAAATGTTGTATTCGCTTCCACCACCAACTCTGGCAGCTCGTTCCATACTCGCACCACCCTCTGTGTGGAAAATGTTGCTCCTTAGGCCCCTTTTAAATCTTTCAGCTCTCACCTTAAACCTTTGCCCTCTAGTTTTGGAATTCCCTGACGAAAAGACCTTGGCTATTCACCTATCCATGCCCCTCATGATTTTATAAACCTCTATAAGGTCACGCCTCAGCCTCCGACACTCCAGGGAGAATAGCCCCAGCCTATTCAATCTCTCCCTCTGGCTCAAAACCTCCAACCCTGGTGACATCCTTGTAAATCTTTTCTGAACACTTCCAAGTTTCACAACATCCTTTCTATAAGAGAGACCAGAATTGAACGTAGTATTCCAAAAGCAGTCTAACCAATGTCCTGTACAGCCACAATGTAACCTCCTAACTCCTATACTCAATGCACTGACCAATAAAGGCAAGCATACCAAATGCCACCTTCACTATCGTACTTGCCTGCAATTCCACTTTTTAGGAACTATGAACCTGCACTCCAAGGTCTCTTTGTTCAGCAACATTCCACAGAACCTTACCACTAAGTGTATGTCCTACCCTGATTTGCCTTTCAAAATGCAGCACCTCACATTTATCTAAATTAAACTCCATCTGCCACTCCTCATCCCATCTGATCTAGAGCCCGTTGTACTCTGAGGTATCGACTACACCTCCAATTTTGGTGTCATCTGCAAACTTACTAACCATGCCTCCTATGTTCACATCCAAATCATTTATATAAATGAAAAAAAGCAGTGGACCCAGCGCTGATCCTTGTGGCACACCGCTGGTCACAGGCCTCCAGTCTGAAAAGCAACCCTCCATCACCACCCTCTGTCTCCTACCTTCAACGCTGTTCTGTAGCCAAAAGGCTAGTTTTCCCTGTATCCCACGTGATCTAACCTTGCTAACCAGTCTACCGTGAGGAATCTTGTGGAATGCCTTACTGAAGTCCATATAGATCACGTCCACCACTCTGCCCTCATCAATCCTCTTTTGTTACTACTTCAATAAACTCGATCAAGTTAGTGACACACGATTTCCCACACACCAAGCCATGTTGACTGTCCCTAATCAGTCCTTGCCTTTCCAAGTGCATGTAAATCCTGTCCCTTCGGATCCACTCCAACTTGCAGAAATGCCAACAAAAGAACTTATTCAATTAAGAGTTGGTCCACAATGTAAAATCAGTAGTTGAATATTCTTTTAAGCTAAGACAATTACTTAAGAATTGTATGTATTTAATTTATGTCTGTAATATGATTTGTGATTGATGACAATTCAATATCCAGGTGGAACCTAGCAATTTCTAGACCTAGATCCAGAATGATAGTCCTGGCACACTGGAGAGCTCAGGTCAATAAAATATATTTTTTTATGTACAAGTTCAACAAATGCATTCAAGCTGGATTTGATTTTTTAAAAAGTGGCTTTAATTGAAGTACGTTTTTTTTTAAGCCTAAATATCAATGGCAGCTTCTGGTCATCTTCTTTCTTTTTAAAAAATAACCTTACATTCACGTTAGCAGTGTCTCATTTTTCAAACCACACCTGAAGGTATTATTTTTAAGTTGCCCCCTATTTTTCTCTTTCACATTTACTTTAATTTTTATTCCATTGACATGCATTTTTAACTCAATTATTGTAATATTTGTGCATTGGCTTCAAAATATTTTGAAGTGTAGTGGTTTGACATGTTGTCTATTTTGACACTGAAGGATGTTGATATGATTTATATTTTAAGTTAAATGCAGCTTGCAAAGGTTTACAATTGCCACGCAGCCAGAGTGGGAAGGAAGGATACATATTGAAATGAGACAAATCAATGTGAATTGTAACTATTTGCACATCTAACTGAGTCACTAAATGTCAACTGATTTATCCAAGTTCCTTGTTGGCCCTATTCATTTAGGGGACACTGGAAGATATTTTCCCAGGTACTCTTTTCATGTGCAATGAAACCTCTGGAGACGAGCAACCCTACTGTCAAACCCTGGAGAGAGTCTGGGTCAGCGAGAGAGACAAAAATAAAAATCTTGCTCAGTTTTATGTGAGGTCTGTAAAAGGAGATAAGGGTTTGATAAATCAACTTGTTTAACATATACCTGGTTGAAGAAAGCTAGGGAACGGGATATCCATAAAGAGTGAATGTTTATTCCCTGTTTGTGTGTATTCTATACAATCATGAAATGTTAATGACAGAATGGAGAAATGTGCAGCAATTTTACAAATCAAGTTGTGTATTGGTGCAAGAAAGTTATAAAGGGACATAGACTAGTGGGCCATAATACATAAAATAACAGCAGAAAATGCCATTCGTACTCACCACATCCAGCAGCGTTTGTAGAGAAACAGACCTGAGTCATTGATTCCCAGAGCCTTCCTAGAATTTTCTGACTTTTTTTTGCATTTCCATCATCTGCAATATTTTTCTTTCATTTCAGAGTGGTGAGGCAGCTTGATGTTTACTCCCTTAATCTTGGGAGGTAATCTGATTGAAGTATTTAAAATTATTAAGGAATTTGATTGGATTAATAGAGTGCAACCATTTCACCTGGTGGTGAATACAGATATAAGGAATTTAACCTTAAAATTAAAGCTGGGTCATTTTGCAGTGAAATCAGCAATTCATACAAACATTAATGGAAATCTAGAATGGACTACCTCAAAAAGGCAGTAGATATTAGCTCGGTTCACATTTTCAAGGCTGAGTTTGATAGGTAACAGTTAAATTAGGGTATCAAGGATATATAACAAAGGCAGTAAATGGAGTTAAGACACAGATTGATTATAATTTAAATTGAGTGGTGGAACAAACTTGGTGGGGGGGTTGCTATATGGTCTGTTTCTTTTCCTATGTATCTAAAATTATATCAAACTAAGGTGAGATTTATTACGATTGCTATTCCATACATTCACTAAATAACTATAGTACAAAGCACTTAGTAATTACCCTGGGTCAGGCTGTTGTTTAATCTGTTATGGGCAATAAGTGCAAACATCAGTTCAATAGAATCCAATTATGGAGGAGCCAATGAAGGACACTCTCCAGCAGTCCTGAGTTTAGAACACAAATGTTGAAATTTTGCTTTAGAATGGTGATTTAGCAAAATCATAGAAATGAGAGCATGTGTGGACAAATATTGGGACTTGAATCTTCCTAATTTATTTGCATAAATGGGAGGCTCACATAATAAATGCCTGTTTTATAAAATGCATTGCAAAATGTCACCTTTAACTGTAGGGATCTAGTTGTAGATCTAGAGGAGATTAGCAGCATACAAGTCTTCCTTCTTTGCTAATTGGAAAGGTTCCAAGAGAAGTAACATTGCCAGTTTCAAATCAGCTGGTGTGCTAAATTGATTGTCTATGAAGAAAGACAAAGGATGCTCTGGTATATCGGGTGGCACTGTGGCTCAGTGGTTAGCACTGCTGCCTCATGGCGCCAGGGACCCGGGTTCGATTCCACCCTCGGACAACTATCTGTGTGGAGTTTGCATGATCTCTCCTGTGTCTGCATGGGTTTCTGCTGGATGCTTTAGTTTCCTCCCATAGTCCAAATATGTGCAGGTTAGGTGGATTGGCCAAGCTAAGTTGTCCCTGGTGTTCAGGGATGTGTAGGTTAGCCACAAGAAATGCAGATGGGTCTGGGTGGGATGATCTTCGGAGGGTCGGTGTGGACTTGTTGGGCCAAATGGCCTGTTTCCATACTGTAGGGATTCTATTCTATAGTAGGGATGGCTTGTTCACAGATGGGGGATTTGGGATGAAGGTCATTCTAATATTGAAGTTAAGTCTTGGCCTTTTACCTTTTTAATTCTCTGTTTTTAAAGAATGCATATCTTTTTCCCCCTTGTCAGATCCTGCGGACACTTAACTAAGTCTGAAGAAGAGTATTTTCCTGGAAGTTATCTGTTTGTCCTAAAATTGTTCTCCTTCCTGCTTGGAGTGGAGTTCTCCATGCTACATTTGGAGGTGTGTCAGTTGGAACATAGACTCTTTAATTTACGAGAAGCACTGAAGCCAAAAAGAAAATGCAAGAAAACTAAATAATAATGGGTTCTACAAAGAAAGATGATGACATGGCACAAACAACTCTGGAGTCTGAAATTGACGCTGTTGCACTGTTTTTACTGTAGTCGTTCAACTTTTACCTAAATCATTTTTATAAAGCTGACTTAAAAGTGTTGCTCTCGTTATTCAAATAATATTTACTTTGGAAGTAAAAATAGGCAAATAGGAATAACCAAATGTACCTTTACAATGTGCAATATCAACTTCCAGTGAGATTGTTTCAGTAAGATTATTTTAAGTTTGTTAAGCTTAACATCAGTGAAATTTCTGTTACTTATTTTGGCTGTTTGTGGTAAGGAGCTCACATTTCCAAACCTGTTTTCCAAAGCAAATTACATCATTACGCAATATTAATTGTCATAATGAATATACCTTTATTAAACCAGTCTGATAAAAATGCATTGGTATACAGATTCTCCTACATTTCAGTATTTTTGTGCCAAGATGGAACATTGTTGTTTGACTCAGTTATAATTGTATCAACACTTTCATAAAGTATTTTGAAGAACTTCGTGTTTAATATTTATATTTGTTTGACAGTATGTTATTTCAGTATTGCTGAAATAAAGACATCTTGTTGAATCTTTTCATCTTACACTCACCGGGATAATTCACAAGAATACAAAACAACATTTATATGGCATGAAAGGAAAATGCTAATTAATTGGCAAGCGACCTCTGGTTGGTAGGGGTGTTACCATGAAAAATGCATTGCTGCTGATTGACGGTTAACTGCCAAACTTTGTTTAATTTTTAAACTGAGCAGGTTGCCTGGTCAGGGCATTGCCCTGAGAAAAGAAGCAACAAATGACAATCACCCATCTTGTTGAGGTGAAATGAGTGAATTGTTCTGAAGAATGCAAGTCAAAAAGTTTCGACTAAGTGTCTTTTTCAGCAATACTTAAATATTTCTCCTAAATGTAATAATGACATTTATTCAATAAAGTTATTGATTTTTATAACACTTCAACTGAGCTATATTTGTCTCTTGCTGGCTTTGACGTTAGCTGTTTTTAAATGTTGATTTCAATTGCTGTCTTGAAAGAAGCGTCCAACAATCCTACCACCTTTACTAGTCACTCTTTGATCAATATTATTAAACATTCAAAAGATTGTTTCAAACTAATATCATCCAAGGAAGGAGAGGGGGAAGGAAAGGGGCAAGTGGACAAACCGCTCAATGGCAAAGAGATAGTAAGAACTGCTGATGCTGGAGGCAGAGATAACACAGTGTGGAGCTGGAGGAACACAGGCCAGGCAGCATCAGAGGAGCAGGAAAGTTGATGTTTTGGGTTGGGACCCTTCAGAAATGGGGAGGGGAAAGGGAGCTGGGAAATAAATAGAGAGAGGAGGGGTGGGGCAAGGGATGGTAGGTAGGATGGTGATGGGTGAGTGCAGGTGGGGATTGGTCGGTGGGATGAGAGGGGCGGATAGGTGGGAGGGAAGATGGGCAGGTTGTGTCGGGTCAGGGAGGCGAGATGAGAGGGAGGCTTGGACATGGGATGAGGCCAGGGTGGGGAGATTTTAAAACTGGTGAATTCCACGTTTAGGCCATCGGGCTGTAGGCTCCTGAGGTGGAATATGAGGTGTTACTCCAGTTTGCAGGTGGTGTCATTGTGACACTGGAGGAGGTTCAGGATAGAGATGTCACCCAGGGAATGGGAGGGGTTGTTAAAATAGTTGGCAACTGGAAGACGTTGCTTGTCGCGTACAGAGCGCAAATGCTCTACAAAACAGTCTCCGAGTCTACGCTTGGTCTCACCAATGTAAAGGAGGCCACATCGGGACCAGTGGATACGCTAGACCAAGTTGACGGATGTGCAGGTGAACACCTGTCTGATATGAAAGGTTCACGGGGGGAGGTGTCAGGGCAGGTGTAGCACTTCCTGCGGTTGCAGGGTAAGGTGCTGGGCGTGGTGGGGCCAGTGGGGAGTGTGGAGCAGACGAGGGGGTCACAGAGAGAGCGGTCCCTATGAAAGGTAGATAGGAATGGGGAGGGAAATACCTCTGATTGTGGGGTCAGATTGTATGTGGCAGTAGTGGTGGAGAATGATATGTTGGATGCAGAGGTTGGTGGGGTGATATGTGAAGACAAGGGGGATTCTGTCTTTATTTTTGTTGGGGGGAGAGGATGTGAGAGCAGAGGTGCTGGAAATGCAAAAGATGCGGTTGAGGGCGTCGATCACCGGAGTGGGGATGTTGTGGTCCTTGAAATAAACCCCTTCTAACTACTAACTATTCCCAACTAAAACAAGATTCTAATGGTATGTTGTTCAAATAAATACAAGTCCCACTTTTATAAAATAAAGAAAAGAATTTAGTCTTCCGAAATAACAGCCAGGTTATATGTCTTCTGGAATGTTCTGTGCCTTCTCCGTTGAATGTTCTGTCAGGAACACCTTCTCCGTCAAATGTTCTCTCAGGAATGCCTCTTCCATTGACTAGTTGTGCCGTAGGTACCTTTGATTTAGATGGTGCTCCTCTAAAACTTAGATACTGTGAGAGCTAGCGATTCTCTCTTGAGAGCTGTTAACTCTGGCAGATGGCAGTTGACTCTCCTGATTTTCCAACTGCCTTCTTCTTTTATTCCCTTGATGATGTATTCCATTTTTTGCAATAGGATCGGTCCTCTGTTGTCAAAACCATCAGGTTTAAAAGTAATTGATTTTTAGTCTCAGTGTGTCTGATTGAAATTCATTGGCTAAATATCTAAACTTGTTGTATTGATAACAAAACAAAACTGCTGCTTAGCCTGCTAAATGTATGGCCTTCTGATACAAATGTTTCAATTTGAGGGCTTCTGTGCACCTGCAAATCCACAAGTTGCTGCCTCCAGTCATTTTGTTTAAACCTCTTAAACATGGAAAAAAGCACACCATCTTTTAAAGAGACCATGCACTGCTTTTCCCCCTAGCATTTTACAAACACCAAATTCTAACTTCCTGCCTTCCAATCAACAAGTATTCTACCTAACTTTGCAACACCTCCCTCCTTAAGAAAAAAATGAACCATCGTTATGAAAAGATGGCTTCATTTATTTCTTTTAAAACCTTAATTCCATTGTATTACTCGATCCATTGCTCATTAATCTGAAGTTTCACATTTTATACAAATTCTATATCAATATATATAAAAAACATTAAACACCGCCATTTCTATTTTATATAAACATTTTCCTTTTAAAACCACGATAAAGTTTCCGCGATAATATTTTCATGACCCACAACATGTACAATCTGTAAATTAAATGCTTGTGATATAAGACTCCAATGAAATAATCTGGAGTTCTTGTCTTTAAATCTTTCCAGAAATGTCAGAGGATTGTGATCGGTGTACACAATCGTCTCTGATACAATGTTTGCAGCGTGAATATTAAAATGTTGTAAGCCCATTACCAAACTCAATAGCTCTTTTTCAACAGTTAAATATTTTTTCAGGAGGATATTGAATTTTTTTTGAAAAATAACTGATTGGTCCTTCAATTTCACAATCATCCTCCCGTAACAACACAGCTCCAAATCCTACATTGCTTGCGTCTATGGTGACTTTGAAGGGTTTCAAGAAATTTGGTGTGGCTAAAACTGGTGCTTTTAAATTCTCAAATGCCTCCTGGCATTGTTCTGTCCACCAAAATTTCGTGTTGTTTTTTGAATAAAGGAGATAGCTGAAGAAGTAGTGGAAGCGTTAGTGGTGATCTTTCAGGAATCGCTAGAGTCAGGGAGGGTCCCAGAGGACTGGAAAATCACTAATATGACACCCCTGTTTAAAAAGGTAGCAAGGCAAAAGACGGGAAATTACAGGCCGATTAGCCTAACCTCGGTCGTGGGTAAGATTTTGGGATCCATTGTAAAGGATGAGATTTCTGAATTTTTGGAAGTGTATGTTAAAATAGGGCAAAGTCAGCATGGCTTCATCAAGGGGAGGTCATGCCTGACAAATCTGCTAGAATTCTTTGAGGAAGTAACAAGCAGTGTAGACCAAGGAGAGCCAATGGATGTTATTTACCTGGACTTCAAGAAGGCCTTTGACAAGGTGCCGCACAGGAGGCTGCTGAGTAAGATAAGGGCCCATGGTGTTAGAGGCAAGGTGCAAGCATGGATAGAAGATTGGCTGTCTGGCAGAAAGCAGAGAGTGGGGATAAAGGGGTCTTTCTCAGGATGGCAGCCAGTGACAAGTGGTGTTTTGCAAGGGTCAGTGTTGGAACCACAACTTTTCACTTTATACATTAATGATCTAGATGAAGGAACTGTGGGCATTCTGGCTAAGTTTGTAGATGATACAAAGATAGGTGGAGGGACAGGTAGTATTGAGGAGGTGGTAAGGCTGCAGAAGGATTTGGACAGGTTAGGAGAATGGGCAAAGAAGTGGCAGATGGAGTACAACGTGGGAAAGTGTGAGGTCATGCAATTTGGTAAGAAGAATAAAAGCATGGACTATTTTCTAAATGGGGAGAAAATTCAGAAGTCTGAAGTGCAAAGATACTTGGAAGTTCTAGGAATCCAGGAATCTCTCAAGGTAAGATTGCAAATTGAGTCAGTAGTCCGGAAGGCAAATGCAATGTTGGCATTTATTTTGAGAGGACTTGAATATAAAAGCAGGGATGTACTACTGAGGCTTTATTAGGCTCTGGTCAGGCCACATTTGGAATATTGCATGCAGTTTTGGGCTCCATATCTCAGGAAGGATGTACTGGCCCTGGAGCGGTTTCAGAGGAGGTTCATGAGAATGGTCTCAGGAATGAAAAGGTTACCATATGAGGAACGTTTGAGGACTCTGGGACTATACTCATTGGAGTTTAGAAGGATGAGGGGGGATCTAATTGAAACTTACAGAATACTGAACGGCCTGGACAGAGTGGATGTTGGGAAGTCGCTTCATTTGGTAGGAGAGACTAGGACCCAAGGACACAGCCTTAGAGTAAAGGGAAGACCTTTTAGAATGGAGATAAGGAGAAATTTCTTCAGCCAGAGAGTGGTGAATCTATGGAATTCACTGCCACAGAAGGCTGTGGAGGCCAGGTCATTGAGTACATTTAAGACTGAGATAGATAGGTTCTTGATTATCAAGGGGATCAAGGGTTATGGGGAGAAAGCGGGAGAATGGGGTTGAGGAACTTATCAGCCATGATTGAATGGTGGAGCAGACTCGATGGGCCAAATGGCCTAATTTCTGCTCCTATGTCTTATGGTCTTATGGTCTTATAAATCTGTCAGCGGTGCCATAATGCTACTAAAGTTTGGTACAGATTTCCTGTAGAACCTGCTCAGTCCTAAAAATCACAGCACTTCCTTCCACAAGGATGGTCTTGGAAACTCCACAATGGCCTTCGTCTTCACATTCCTCGGTGTCATCTGTCTCTGTTCGATGTTGTGCCCTAACAACAACACTTCCTCCTTCGTGAATTCTGTTTTTGCCAAGTTTATGATGAACTTTGCCTCCCATAGTCTCTCAAAGAGCTCTGCCAAATGCTCTGTGTGATCTTTCTATGAGTGGCTAAAGATCATTAAGTGATCTATGTGCATGGCACAATTAGTCAATCCTGCAAAAACTCTGTTCATAAACCTTTCAAAAAGTGGCTGGTGTATTTTTCATTCCAAAGGACATTACTTTAAATTGACACAGCTCCATTTGGGGTTACAAAAGCAGAAACTCCTTTTGCACTCTCCAATAAAGATACTTGTCAGTAACCGTGAAGTAAGTCTAACTTTGTGATGTAAGTGGCTTGTCCTACTTTTCTACATGGTCCTCCATCCTTGGAATTGGTTATGAATCAGATTTAGTCACGGCGTTACCCTTCCGATAGTCTACGCAGTCATTGAGTACTGTCAGGTTTGGGAACCAATTTGATTGGCAGCTCCACTCACTTTGACTTGGCCCTAAGATGTCTTCTTGGAGCATTGCTTCCACTTCCTTCTGAACCTACCACGCTTTGAGAAGATTAAGCCTGTAGGGGTGTTGTTTTAT